GGTTAAAAAGGGTTAGGGTTCATAGGGTTAATAGGGTCAACAGGGTTAATGCGCTTAACAGGGTTAATAGGCAAAATAGGGTTTATAGTTTAGGGCTTGGGGCTAGGGTTTAGGACTGGCCAAGGAGTTGAAGCACGAAACTTAACCCTCCTCTGCCCCCCCCCCGCCCCCCACCCCCAGTTCCCGCAGGAGGCAACTCGTTCACAAGGAACCATGAGCCCAAAGGGTCCTAAGAACCTATAGGGGCGACACTTGCCCAAACCATCATGATACTTCTTATTATAGAAGCCCGACTTTCTACCATGTAGCTGCTTGGGACCCTTTGGGGAGGATGTTGGCTACGTGGGACCTCCTTGCTGTGTAACAGGGCAATGCTTCCACGGCACCCTGGACCTACACCCTAAATCCTAAACCCTAAATCCTAAACCCTAAATCCTAAACCCTAAATCCTAAACCCTAAATCCTGATTCCTGCACCCACCGAACGTCCAGGCGACAAGTTCTGAACTCTGAACCCATGACCTTGGACCCTGGCAAAGTGTTGAATTGATACACCTTGTTTCAGAGTTCCCTTGATACGAACTTGTCGTTTCTTTCTGAAGCCTAGTTGTGTCCTCAACCCTGAGCCCCAAAGCCAGCCCTTAACCTTCAACCCTAAACCCCGAACCCTGAACCCTAAACTCTAAACCCTACACCTTAATCCCCAAAACCCCAAAACCCCAAAACTCCAAATCCCCAAAACCCCAAAACCCCAAAACTCCAAATCCCCAAAACCCCAAAACCCCAAAACCCCAAAACCCCAAAACCCCAAAACCCCAAAACCCCAAAAAACCAAAACCCCAAAACCCCAAAACCCCAAAACCCCAAAACCCAAAACCCCAAAACCCCAAAACCCCAAAACCCCAAGACCCCAAAAACCCAAAACCCCAAACCCCAACCTTACTGCCTACACACTTCAAGCCGCCAAGGACCCTAATCCCAAACTTGAAGTCCCAAGTAGGGCAAGGCACTAGTGAGTGGAGCGACGCGGTGGAATGAATCCTATCCAAACCTGGGGCGCGAGCTGGCACGAAGATCTGGAGAAGATGGCTGCGGGTTTGTTGGGTTCAGGGCTTCGGGTTTAGGGTTTCGGGATGGCCCGTATTTCTGAGGTGTTGCCCCCCCCCCCCGCCCGCCCGCCAAAAAAACCAGTTTTTGGGTTTAGGGTTTAGGGTTTAGGGTTTAGGGAACCCTAAATGCCCAAACTCAACATATCCCAAAAAGGGCCCTATGTAGGAGCCCAAGGGTTGAGGGAGCCTCCTAGACCCGTAGGGAAGGTTTATGGGAATCAGGGTTACAGTCCGAAGCTTCGGCAGAGGTCAGGGTTTAGGGTTTAGGGTTTTAGGGTTTAGGGTTTAGGGTTTAGGGTTTAGGGTTTAGGGTTTACTTGAGTATAGGAGCAAAGAGGCCAATCAGCTCTGAACAAACGATTGCTCAGAATTAACTTCTCCAAGCTGTTTGAACGAAAAGCAACTACCCTAAACCCTAAACCCTAAACCCTAAACCCTAAACCCTAAACCCTAAACCCTAAACCCTAAACCCTAAACCCTAAACAACTTGTCACGACAGCATCCTGAACTGCTGAAACTGGGTCGAGCAAGCTCAGCGAAGAGCACTGACGAATCAGGCTCGGGGTTTGGCCAAAACCCGAAGCCCCTAACACTGATTCCTTCCCCTAAGGGTCCATGTACCTTATTATTATATACTTAGACCCAAAAGTCCTTATATAGGAAGTACTTTAAGGCCCAAGTATTCCATAATTAGGTACATGGACCCTTAGGGTTCTATGATCCGGCTGCTGAAAGGGTACGCAAAACGTATCAAGTTCGCTCAGGCTTCAGGATGCGATAAAGACGTCGGCTGTAACCTAGAGTAGGGCTTCCACGCCCTCAGGGCTCGCAAGTCGAAGCAGATGTACCCTAAACCCGAAACCCTGAACCCTGAACCGTAAACCCAACCCCTTAACACTGAGGCCTGGACGCTTGAAGTTCTGTGAGACGAGCACCAAGACCTCCATGCGAATATAGGGGCCAATTTAATTAGGTTCAGGGTTAGGTACCAATATTTTTGGGACAGTTGGCATGATAAACATGTAGGGTTAGGCTCCTGTAGCAGATATCTCTCCATCTGCGTATCGTTAGACATAGAACCCGCCCTCAAGCGACCCTAAGCCTGAAGAGATGCCAGACCTTCGAAGAAACTGAGTCACCCGGATAAAGAAGGTGCGAAATCCGAGACAGCCCGAAGACCCGTAAATCCTGAACCCTAGACCTGTAAACCTTCTGAACCTTATAAACCCTAAACCCTAACCCTAAACCTAAACCCTCACAGGGCTTGGGGACAAAATGTTCAAGGCCTCCAAAGATATCTCCAAATCCTGCGAGCCCTCCAGTCCTACTTGTGGACCAAACGAACCCTGAAAGGGTTCACAGTTCATATGCACTCCGAGAGATTTTAGGAGT